TAAATGTTTATTTTTTATGGAATTGAAGACTATGTCTCATATTTAATTCGTAGCTCTTGATTTGTATTTAGTATCTTGAATCTTTGAAAAAGAGAAGGATAATAGATTATAGGAAGATTATTATTTGAAAGCTTTGATTCTTAAGAGTATGTATAATTTTAATTTGGGAACAAAAGATTGTTTCCAGTGTGTACCTTTTTTTACTATGGATTAAGTAGGATTCTTATTAATCTTTTAATACCGAGAAAGAATATATGATCTTATTTTTAGAGTTTATGCAAAGCTATTTAAAGATTTTCCCGCTCACACAATGTTGTAAAGAGCCTTTTGTGTTATTTATCATAGGGTTATGCTTTTTCTTTTTGAATATAGGTCATAAGTTGTGCTTTCTTGTTCATTAATATATATATTTATGGTATTTTGGCGACGAAATTTTATTTTTTCCGTCGCTAAAAGTTTAGCGACGGATTTGTCCGTCGCTAAAAGTCCTGTTTCTAGTAGTGATTATATATATTTATGGTTTAATTCTTTACCAATTACTCAGTTGGTATGCACTTTAAGTTCAGAAGTGCTATCGACTTGTCCAGCGCTTTTAATGTTTCTTATTCTTTTGATTTTCTCACCTCTATTAAGCATCTTTTATATTCTTTCATTAATAATTATGTTGAATCAACAAACTTTGTTTGTCTTCTTTTTTAAATAATGACGAATGAGTTTTTTGTTCCTATCAAATTTAGTCAACAAATATTAACTAATAAAATATATTGGCTATCTATCTTCTATTCATTGAGAAAATCATAATACTCAAACTTATATGATATATTTGATTGAATTGCAAAAAAAGACTTCTTATATGAAATCCGGATTAATTTGTCTCTTGATTAGAACTCTCTACTAGATTAAAAAAAAATGACTTATACAATTCCCATGAGCTGAGCTATTCAAATAATATTTTTATATCAGTTATGATTCCATCTTGCTATTATAGTTTTTATACTTTTGCATCTAATAACAATTTTTGTTATTCCAACAAGATACTAGACATTTAATATAAATTTTTTAATTTTAGTGGCCTTTGTAACTTTCGTGCACGATATATTGAGAATCAATATACCATAAGCAAATATTACATCATAATGTAAAATATATTATTTGCCAATAATTTCTTAAACCAAGTATGCCACGTGCAACGCACGCGTGACATACCAGTGTTATGAAAAAGAAACTAATTAACTTTTTTTTCCGACCTGACCCCTCTCTTTGTTCTTAATTAAGCCGTGGGATCAACAAGTTTATTTTATTTTATTTGGATGAACAAGGATCAATAGGGCTGAGTACATGAAACAACATTTGGAACTCTCCGTGACAATTTGGCAACCGATCTGTTGTTTTTTATTGGCATCGTTATTGGGAGTTTTGATGAATGGAGTAGGTTAAAATAAAATTTGTCCGGTGTATTAGAGTAAACCATGAATCATGTACGCACAAAATTATATAAGGTCTTCATTCAAAGTCTTCCTTCATTAACTGAGCATGGAAGTTAGGAATTTGATTGCATCTTGATTATGACCCTTGACCTAAGTTAGGGGCATTTGCATTAATTGACTAACATATGCATGTCCTTTTTTAAGCAAACGGTATTTCTAATCCAAGTCCATGACACTCGTGGCGAGCAGAGAAAGATAGAGAGAAATTAATAGTAAATAGACTTTTCTGATTTGTATTAGTTTCTCTCACTACCTCTCATCTCTCTATCTTCCTCGTTTCTTAACGAGTGTCGGTGGGCACTCGTCAGAAAACCCCTTTAATCGATGTGTGATCTTCCCTTGTGAGAATTATACGGAAATGATAACTATAGCCGTAAACAAAAACTTGTACGAGGCAGGTCAAAACATGCTCTCGTTACACCAACTTATTACTTTGGATAAAGTATATGCTATCACAATAATGTTTTTTTCCCCCCCCCTCATCTTAGGTTTTGAACATTAACAAATATTAACTAATAATTACGAGCCGCTATGTAAATGGGCTACGTTTATGGGCTTCAACGGAACTAATTCGTAATGGATTCATAAATTCAAATGGCCCGTTAGTGCCCACGGAGCTTATGTTTTCGGCGTATGCTACATGAAATCTACATCTGTGGGCTTTTCAACTGAGCTGTTCCTCAGGGTCTATGGGCCAACTAGGCCGATGCTAAATTAAAAATAGTAATAAAGTATGTCCTCTCTCCCTATGTTATATGAACAATATCTCATGTTATGTACCTAGTAAAAATTTCAATGGAATGTAAAATACAATACAATGGACGCTATTAACTATTTTTCGTATTTAAAAAAAAATGATTGCTTAAAAAGCTAACCGTTACATGTTTTAATTGAAAATGAAAGCATTTTAGCCGGAAAATAGATATTATTTGATAAAATCAGCAAAATAGATACTCTTACTAAAACAAAATATATAGAGAAAACCACTTTCAATTATATGATTTGAAACAAACTACTATTAATAGAATCCAAAATATAAATGATGTTGATCCATATTTGAAATCTAGGTTTTCAAATCAAGACTCCGTTCGTCTTATGCGATCCACGACAATTTCATCTATTTAGAAATAATACCTAATTTTCATACATTCTAAACATGCATATATTATTTTGCCATAATCGCTTTCAAAGCATTTACTCAACGTAGACTATGCCGTAGATTGCATTATCCTATAATAACCTTTTCTCGAACCAACCAAGCAGAAAATTCATCATTTTCCAACACCGCTACTATAGCCAGCACCTAAGATTTTTTTTCCCCAATCATAAATAAAGGTTGAAATACCAAATTAGTCAAAAAGATGACACTCATTTACCAGTTTTATCTATAAAGTGACATTGGTGACACTTTAGCTTAAAAAGTGATGAATATGATGACAAATAGAAATTTTCGGTTTTGAATAAAGTTTTTAAGTGAAAATTTAATTAATTTTCACATATAGATCCCCTACTCTATCATATTTTTCGGATTAACCCCCAAAGATTTTAAAATTTTGTAAAAAGAATCCTCACTTCCCACCATCTCATCCTTCCTCCTTCATCCTTCCCATCATCTCCTCCATTCTCTTCTCCTCCAACCCCCAACTTTCCTTCCCCTCTCCCGCTCGTTCTCCATCCTTTCTCATGCTCATTCTTATCTTATCATTTCCACTATCTCCTTCATTTTCTTTTCCTCCCAATCCCCAACCTCCCCTCCTCCTCCTCATCCTTTCTCAAGTCCAACATATAAAAATTTGCTTGAAGCATTTGGAGGGAGTGAATGAGAGGAGAGAAAGGAGGAGAAAGAAGACAAAAAAAGAGAGAGAAGTGAAATAAGTTAAGATGAGATGGATTTGGAGAAAGAGGGAAATAAGAAAGTAATATGGATGATATGGAAAAGGAGGGAGAAAAGAGAATGGGAGAGGAGAGATTAAGGATCAGAATGTGAAAATAACGAGGAGATGGCGGGAAGGAGGAGGGAGGAGATGATGGGTGGGTGGGTGGGAGGGAAGGGGGGAAGAAAGAGAGAAGTTTTTTCCACATATTTTAATTTTGAGGAGATAAATCCGAAAATATGATAGGGTGGGGGTCTACATGTAAAAATTTATATCCGGCAACGAAAATGCCTATTTGTCATCGTATTTGTTACTTTATAGGCTAAACTGTCATCAGCGTTATTTTATAGACTAAACTGGTAAATGGGTGTTACATTTTTGGCTAATCTGGTGTTTTAGCCCATAAATAAATTTTGATATAAATAGCACGTTACTCATAAATAGCCCCAGCAACATTCTCCTTCTATACTTTTAGAGCATCTTTTATAGTTTATGCAAAGGTAAAACTTATCATATTGGCAGGAAAAAAGAGAAAGAGAGAAGAAAAAAATAATACAATGAAAGAAACTCTATAACAATCCTTATCAGAGAGAGAGAGAGAGAGAAGACCCGATAGAAAGAGGAGCGAGAGAGAGATTCGTCAATAAATCAAGAAGCTACAATCCCCTCTCTCTTTGAACGGTGCTCGTTCTCAGCTTCTCACGAGCCCAAACCTCCCAAAAGATCTCCCCCAACTGAAAAAAGCAAGCTCAACCTCCCCTTCTATAATAATCTTTTCTCGAACCAACCAATCAGGAAAATCATCATTTTCCAATACCACTACCATAGTTAGCAACTAAGAATTTTTTCCCCAGTCATAAATAAGTTTTGATATAAATAGCACGTTAATCGTAAATAGCCCCATCAGCACTCTCCTTCTATACTTTTAGAGCCTCTTTTAAAGTTTATACAAAGCAAAAACTTATCATATAATTATTCATTATTAAAAAAAAAGAGTGAAGAAAAAAATAATACAATAAGGGGATGTTTGTTTCAAATCCTATATTTTTAGGATATGGATTTCAATATCCCAGATTTCACCATGGGATTTAAAATCCATTGGTTTTTTCTAACATGGGTTGAGATTTCATGTTGTTTGTTTCATTAATATTTTGGGATATGTAATCCTATAATTTGTATTTTGTTTGTTTCAAACTCAAATCGTAGCATTACAAATTTTAGAATTTAAAATCTAGCATAAATACTCTCTCAGAGGGGATTTCACAAATGCTATAATATATTAATTTTTTATTATTCAATATCCCAAAAATTTAATTTGAATCAAACAAATGTTATTAAATCCATAAAAACACACTTTTTCATCTTAGAATTTGTAATCCTCTCTCTCTCNCCCGTTCTCAGCTTCTCACGATCCCGAAACCCCAAGGGATCTAACCCCAACCGGGGGAAAAATACTCAAACTACCCCTTCTCATCTCAAAAACCCTAATCTCTCAAAAACCCTAATCCCCCTCTCGCGTCTCAATCGACCTTTTTTAGGGTTAGGGTTTATCCTCAATTCCTTGACCCCCCACCCCCCTCGCCGATTCCATCCGCATCTAGGGTTTCAGTTATAGCG